GATGGGAAATGAGGGGGATTGGACGGGGATGGAGAACTGGCACAGGGCAGGTGGGAAGGATGAAGATGGGATTGTCCAAGAGCAGAAAAGGGAGCAGGTTGAGGGGCTCCATCAAGGAGAGGCATTGTGCTCTGGATGGAAGAAACACTAGAAAAAAGAAAGAAGGACAGAAAACATTTCCTGTTAACTTCCCACTCTTCCCGCCCTTTCCTCTCAGCCTTGTCGCCCACAGTGAGAAGCGATCCCAAGGAGAGAGCCCTTGTCTTGGATGGGTCCATGCTCTGCCTTTCACCTTGATTTCACTCTGTTCTTATTTGTTTGTTTTCTGAGACAGAGTTTCTCTGTCTAACAGCTCCGGCTGTCCTGAAACTCACTGTGTAGCCTCTGGCTCCTGAGTGCTGGGATCAAAGGCGGTCTCTGCCGCCGCCGCCACCACCTGGCATCACTGTTCTTTTACAGATGGGCAACAGATTAGTAAAAGGACAGCACCCAAGGTCACAGAACTACAACTCGGTATGCTGGTATTAAATCTCAGTTCTGAACTACCCCAAAGCCATGTGGAGTCCCGAGGATGACTTTAGCTGTTATCCACCTTGTTTGAAGGGTGCCAGTCACATGTTTTAAGAATTAGAAATGGGGGCTGGGTGGATGGCTCAGTCAGTAAAGAGCTTATCTTGCAAGCAAGAGGACCTTCATTCAACTCCAGAACCCAACTGACAAAACTAACCAGGTAGCACGTGTTTGTAATCCCAGGGTAACGACGGTAGGGAGGCATGTGAATCCCTGGAGGATCTGTGGTCAGTGAGAGATCCTGCCTCAAAAACAGGACACCTAAGGAATGACTGCTGAGGTTGACCTCTGGCCTCCACACTCACACATACACACATGTGCCTACACACAAGTGAACAACACATGAGCATGAATGCAAACACATAAAAGAATCAGGTATGGGTACATGGCTATGGACAAAGCAGGCAGAAATACAGGCCCTGTGTTCTAAGAGCCGTACCTGGCCCTACAGTGGTAAGAGAAATAAAAACAATGAGAAAGAAAACTGTCTACCAGCACAGAGAAATGTCTGTAGCAGCTGGGAGACAAAACAACAGTAAATTAGACTATTAACATGACCTATACCAACTACAGCACAGATAAGCCACATAAATTCCATCACAATAAATAAAAAGCCAGCCCCGTATGTATACTCACTTCCCAGAGTTCATAGAGCTCCTTCTTGAGGTCCTCTGGCAGCAGCTGGGTTATCTGCTTCATAGCCTCCTGAAATACGAAGCCATTAATTCCATTACATTCACCTCCACTGAAGTCAATATCTAGTCTACAAAAGGCAAACAAGAGACTCAGATTCTTTAGAACAACTCCCAGTAGAATAAGCTGGCCTTTACAGGTTCCGGGGTTTCTTAAAGTATTATATTCATTTTCTATTATTTCCATTATTGCAAAAACTTAAAAGCATCATACAGAGAGTCAATCATTGTCACTGACATAACAGAAGTTCCACTGCTTTTGAGGTTCATGGATTCCCAGGATGCACTGCTGTCCTCCCTGCACCAAAGGACTTTATGACTTCAAGGCTGCCCTTCCGAAAGCGCTGTCCTATCCTCTGATGGTCACACCTAGTGTCAAACAGCAGGACAATGACCAGTGAGTTCAAAGTGACTGTGTCCCCAGCCACTGTTTGAGGGGCTGTCCTTGCAACTCATGCCTGGCCACTCTGGGGCCTTTTCATGATGTGTCCAGCAGTGTCTAAAAGACACCATTGTCACCACAAGAAGCCTGAGAGTTATCCAAACTCCAGAGAAGAGAAGAGACTGAGAGGATAAAAGGGGAGAATAAAAGATGTTCTCCACTCTATAAATACTTCTAAGTCTCTTGTGGTGCCCTGTCCAGTCTCCTCCTTGGCTTCAATCATTCTAACATTCTTCCAAATAGCACATTTTTTAAGGGCAACTGGTTTCCCAGTGGCCTTATATTCCTTCATTAGCTCATCCTGTTTACCTCTCACTCAACCTGGTAGTAATCAGAGTCTCAGCTCTTTGAAAAGAATAAGCTGTAAGCATCAACTTCAGCATCAATAGCAAGGTCTTATATAAAATAAGACAATGAGTTAGAGAAAAGCAACGAAGAGGAAACTGGGTATTTGTGTGCATATTTATAAAACACTGGAAGGAAATATGGCTTATAGCATACATGTGCATCTACAGCAAGCAGTATTTACTATGCTCTTACAAGTGGCACCGCCATCTGGGGTGGTCTGCTCAGTCACACAGCTGTCGCGTCACACCACTCTGAGTGGCATAAAATGCATTTTACACATGCATTCTTCTTGTTTCTTTATTGTAAATCTCAGCAATATCCTTGAGAAAACGCCTATTTATAAATTAACTGTCTCCATACAGAGATTGCTTTTGACTATACTATTCCAGAAATACATTGTGTCTTGCTTGTTTTTCTTTTCCTCAGAAGACACTTGTGTACAGTTATATGGAAGTCCAGTTCTCTTGGAGGACATGCTTAAACACTTTGCTTCAAACAGGAGTCTTTTTACTGCCTCTTCTTAGCTGATGGGCCCAGCACCGAACACGGCAGAACAAAACGCAGCCCTCGCCTCTCTCCTGCAAGATACTTTATTTGTATGGGTGCACGCCAAGACTGAATTAGCTTTTTGGAGATCTTAATACTGACTTATTAAGAAGCTCCTTCACAATTACTGTGTCCTTTGAAAAACAAAACACAACAAATATGTTGCTTTCCTCTTAAAATTGAGAATTTTCTGGATCTAAACGTATCAATATAACTTGTTATACAATGAGAATTATACTTTTTTTTTTAAACCAATTTTTGAGGATTACATACGTTAAGTACTGGATCACTTCTAATTCTCTGCTTCCCCCCTCACAACCCCTCCTGTGTTCCCCAACTCCCTCTCAAATTATTATGGGTGTACACACAAGTATATATAAATACAGCCTGTTGAGTCCATCTAATTTGTGTGTGTGTGTGTGTGTGTGTGTGTGTGTGTGTGTGTGTGTGTGTGTGTGTTAGAGCTGACTGTTTGGATTGGGCCACCTATCAGGGGTCTCATCTCTGGAGAAGACTGATCCTCTGTCCTCAGCAGCTATTAATTGCCTGTGGCTCTTCATGTAGAGAGAGGGGAAGGCCTGGGAGATTTGGTTGCCTAAACAAGACCTCCACAATAACACCACCAGCTGAGAATTACATTTTTGCGACCTCTTGGTTAATATGCCTTGTTTGATGGCTTATACCACAGCATCATGCCTCCCTTTAAGAATGATAGCGACTTCACTGAAGATCCTAGGCATGATCCAGGACCTCATCTCTGTACTTTCACTCTGGCATTCAGCCACACATTTTGAGTGGCGATACCCCAGGCTTCTTCCTTTGCTGGCAAACTAAGCCAAGAATTTCCTTCCACTGAACTGAGGGCAGCTCTCACCAGACTCACAAAGCTCACGTATCGGTTTCATGGCCAGCACCGGCAAAGCATGACCTTCACACCCTGACATGGCTGAGCGGTGTGGTGGCTCACTCAGATTCTAGATCCAGATTGGTCTTAAACCTTAGCTTAGCCTTAACTAGCTGAAGATCCCTAACCAAGTCACTTAGCCCTTTGGTCTTGAAATTTCCTCATTTGCAAGATGCTACCTTGCTAAGAGGGTTGTATGGTCTGAGCATGCACACACACAGTCCTCATAAACTCAGCATGAGTCCTCTAGAAATGCTCGCTTTGACTTTTTCAATTTCTCTACCTTCCAAACACATTTTGAAAAGGCCCATTTCACCTAGTTCTTTAGAGACTTTGCCCCTCACAGATATGGACATAACATGACTCTGCACTCCATTTGAATAAGCTTCTCTCTTTGCAAAAGAATATAGCTGGCCACTGCTACACCCAGCCTCTAAGTCCAGCTCCTTAATCCTCATGATCTCTGTTATGCAACACTGGCCAGTTTGAGTTATAATAAAAGGTTATTGATATCATGGTGGATGAAGAAGGTTAGACCTCAAGCGTTGCTTTTGGCCCCCTTCCCAAGTTCTGTTTTCTATGCCCTCCTTCTGCCTTTCATCTTAATATCAAATATCCTTCCAGTTCACCAAGTAGTCCCTTCCCTGGCCCCATCCCCTCCTCCGTCAGCTTAAATCCTGGCCAGCCAGTCAAGAAATTTCTGTGCAAATGATGCTTCTGGTTCACATTATGCACGTTTCCCCTGAGGCCAAGGAGCCTTCATTTAACTATCTTAATGCATGTCTCAGAGAGCCAAATCTTGTTCATAAACACCATCTGTATAAGGCATCCCAACCTTCCTGTGCCCAAACCCAGATCAGCAGCAGGAAGATGTAATGGCGCACCAGCTCTCTCCAGGCCCCGGGTTTCTCGGCCAAGAACTTAATGTTCCTTGAGATGTTTCCCTGGTCTTTCTGCCTCTGACATTTATTCCTCTGTGAATCAGCAGGGGTGGGCACACATGAAGACAGCAGCACCTAGTGACCCTCCCTCAGGCCACACTAATCAAGACCCATCCTGTCTGAGGAGTCATAGGCTTCCTCCTCCCGCATTGGTTGCAGTTCCTTTACAGTGTCTGTGGTTCTTTTCTAGAAGTTTCTGGCATGCTCTTCTGTGGAGAAAATCCTTGCACACTTCCAGAGGGACAGCATCTCTCTTCTCTGTCATATCTCCCCATGCCTGCTCCTCAGTCTAAGGCCTCAGTCATCTTCAGCATGGTTTTTCACTCTAATGTCCATATTTATGCAGAAGTGAAACCAACATCCTCCAATGGGCTTCATGAACGAGGAGTTTTTTTCTCCATCCTCTTAACCCGGGTGACACTTCATTACCCATTATCCTCTGGTTCAAGTGATAATTCCTTTCTACAACTGAGAATTTAAGCAGATTGCTTTCTTTCTGTATGGATTCTGTCAAGAATTCTTTTCACAACAGTCTGGACCTATATTGAGAAATATTTCCTTCTGTCATGATGCACAGGCTATATTTTGGACCTGTCCTTTGGGAAGAAGAGGGATGGAGGACACAGCCTTATTCTATTCCCAAGATGCCTGTATTTTAGGGTGGCTTGGAACCTAAATTACCTTCACTTCCGTATGGGATCTTCTTGCTTCTACATGGGCAAAAGCCCTACTGGCTACTTAGATCCAGTCTCCATCAGCTCGGAAAATAGCCACTTAAACCCACCTTCTCTATTAAACCATCTCAGTAAAGGCTTCCTCAATAAATAACTTAGGACCAATCTCAAAGGCCTACACGAACAGTCATTTGCAATAATGATTACACTGAATATCACCTCTTCAGCTTTAAAGGATGAAAGAGCAAGGAGCAGGGGAGGAAGGAGGAAGGGATAAGGGTAGCCTTCTTCCTGTGTTTTTCTGTTTCTGCCTCAAAAATGTCTCTTTGTAGCCCTGCGCTCTGAGTTTAGAGCATCCATTGACCTTGATTTAATAGCTTATCAATGCTATTTATGTCTATGAATGCAAATGTTTTCTTTTACCTTTTAAATTTCTAGCCTCTAAAGGACAAACTTAAAATGTACTAAATAGTAATTATAATACTAAATATATTTGTGATTTAGAGAATTTCTCTCCAAATAGTTTAAGAGTGTGTGTGGTGGGGGGTAGATAATTTCCACAAACTGACTTAGTCCCTGCTATTTGTACTATTCTTATGAAATCCATGCCATCTCTCCATGCACACAAATAAGAACTGATGCCAATATGACTATTTGTTCCAGGGTCAAACAAGGCTGGAGCAGGGATGTAGCCCTATTCTTATATAAAACGTTGCTGAGAATAAGCTAAAACAACTTTGCTGGCCAAGAAACCCTTGCTGAGAGAAGACTGTTACTTCAAGACTCTCTTGAAGACCTTCCCTCGCTCTTCCCACCAAACGTGAGCCACTAAGTACTAAACTCTATACAGACCCAGCTAGTTGTCTATCATCGGATGCGCTCCATCCTAACACCTTGGCCCTAAAACTCTAAGCACATCCTCTCCGACCTTCCCCATCTTTCTTTATAGCTGGTGAATTCTCTTCACTTCAGCGACAGCTTTTCCTCGCGGTCCTTTGCAGAGCCAGTGGTCAGCACCAACCTCTTCTCGTCTATGTTTTTCTTCTTTGGGGATGTTATCTGCTGGTGCTATGTCCCCAACGATGCATTCTGCCATATCGTGAACCAGGGCTAGGCGTATACATCTGACCAGGTGAGAAATGGTGAATAATTACACAAAATTACAGTCACTACAAGTTTCTTTTCTATACTAATTTTAAACTTAAGCATGTGTTTTTTTCTTTCTTCCCCACTCAGAGAATATTTTAATACAATATTTTCTAAAGTAATTATGCTCTACCAGCCTACATTAGTTCTGAATCAAAACTGCTCAGGAATATTTAACACAATGCCTGAGTATAGAGCAAACTCAATTTTTTTAATGGTTGATTTCATAATTCCCACTTTAAGAAGTTCCTAATGTCAAACGGCAAAGCCAGGAGATATTTTACTTACACAAAACTTAGAATCAATCATTTCCTCCAATGTCCTAGTGCCAAAATGATCTATATATAAGATAATGGGTGCAGCTGAACAGATAGGGCCCTGAATTTGGCTACCGACCTTACTAGCTACAGGAAGTTTACCAAATTACTTACTTAATTTAAATGCTTACTTACTTAATTTAAATGCTTCCTATCACCGCCCTTCATTTTATCATGTAAAATGAGTAACAGGGGAGATACAGCTCCTAGAGTACTGGCCTACCATTCACAAGGCCCTGAGTTTGATGTCCAGCATCACTAAAAGGGGGTGGAGGAGTACTTCATACAGGAGATACAAGAATTATATTTGATAAATCATGCTCTTGCTCCACACTGGTTATTTAACACATGGCTATGACTATTAGTCCACAATAATAACCATCAGAACGACAGGGAAGGGCGGGCTGTTTTTCAGTCCTACTAATCCACGAAGTCTTTGAAGCCTCCTAGGCTTCTCTGCCTCCAGTTTCTTTCTAGTCCAGTACAAATGTCAGACTGAGTCATCTCAAACTGACTTTTGTTTTGTGCTTCTTATTTCTTTTTTGCCAATACTCCCCCATGTTCCACACCACCCGCAGAGCAATAGGGGCTCCCCAGGGAACACTTGGCTGTGGTCAACCTGACTTTCTTCTGTTTTCCCAGGGTACTTTGCTTCCCTACCACTGGGGCTTTGATTCCAGCTTCTCTGCGTGCAAGGCCTCTTTAGAACTCAACCCCCATCTAATCCAGGAAGACCAACCGAGAGCAGAGGATTCCCCTTACGACTAGAATGAATAGCTGGCTAATTCCCTACCCTAACTTATTTTGTGGTTTTTATTGAGACCACATCAGGCCCAGGCCAATTCATTTGCTGTCTTCTACGTAAACTCTTGCCCTGTGGTTCTGATTTTAAAGGCTTCTGATTAACTAAATGAGGTGCCTCTTTAAAGCATCTATAAATCTACTGCCATACAACCTCAGCAGCATGGCCTCACAAATGGCTACCACTATTCATAAAAGCAGCTAGTTAGTTCAAAAACAAAATAAATACTAATGCAAAGATATAATTTTATACATGCTCACCTTCAGGGCCCTAACTTCTCACTTGTTTCCACTGAGACCAACGCACACTCTATCAACAGAAGTAGTCCTCACACAGAGCCCTGAGACTTTCACAGGCATCAGTGTTCAAATTAACTTACCGATCCTTGTTCAGATGGTCGTCTCTGGTCACCATAGCCATAACCGCCATCCGGTACATGTGATCTGACACACTTTCTGGCTTTTCCACATTTCTGTATACCCAGCCTGTCCGTGGGACTCTCTAATAAAGAAGATAAGGAATTAAACAAATACCACCACTGGAAACCACCGCACAACCAACAGGTACTCTTCAAGAAAGTGCCAGGGAATGCCCAAAGTTACCAAGGCATGGTTTCAAACCTACTTTTTTTTTTAATGCTTTATTTAAACTAACCATAGTGATCCAAACTAGTGAGTGAGCAAAATGCAGTTCACAAGTATACTAAAGTCCAACAGTCATCACTCTGTGCTACTGAAGTATAACTATGGGACAAATACAAAGTTTTTAGACATAAAAGAAAAACTGGTGTTAAGCCTGGAATCCCAGCATTCAATAGGCGGAGTTTCAGGCTGCCAGCCTGAGCTACCAACCTCTTCTCAAAAAAAGTACTTTGTAGTTAGGAAAAATACAAAGCCAAAGCCCTGTTTTTCCTAACTACAAGAGTAGTGGGCTTTTGCTATCCAAAAAAAAAAAAAAACCATTTCACAGAAGAAAAGAGTAGCATGTTTTGTACATAAACATGTGAGACTACCCAATTCTGACACAGAAGGATTGGAGTAATTTCTGCCCCACTCAAGCCTTTAATTCAGATCATGATGTGATTGATGATCATGTGAGTCTGCACTTTCCCTGGGAGTTCTGTGCTTCTAAAGAATTTCACGAATAGTCACAGGGTCGGGGAACCGGTGATCAGGGAACGTTGGGGACTCTGCACAACCTCCGCCAGGCGAGGACCCGGGCACGCTGAAACTGTGGTACAGAAACGGGCATTTCCGGAAGTCACTGCCACAGGGGAAGGTCTCCACTGCACATGTGCAGGGTCCCCCGACTCTCTGCCTTCCGCCGTAGCTCGGCTGCATCGCCCAGGGCCTGAGGTGTAGGCGCCGGGGCCAGAGCTGGCGGCGCCGGGCTCGGAGTGTGCACAGTCCCGGGTCCAGCCTGGCCCGTCGGCTTCGGTCCCAGCAGCTCCTTCCCGGCACATCCAGGCCGCGCACCGCGCACCGCCGAGCGAGGGGAGGCGGCGCGGGGAGAGCCAGAGCCCGAACCGCCGCATCCCGGCCAGGCCGCTTCCGCTCGCTCACCTTGAGCTGCCCGACCAGCCGCAGGAAACGCAACAACCCAGCCCCGCCGCCGGAAGAGGCCGAAGCCATGCCGGAGTGCACCTGACCGGGTGGCCCGCAGCAACTCCCCTCCCTTAGGCTCCTC